TTTTTTTTTAATTTTTTTTTTTTACTCAAAGTATGTTTTATCCTCCAACTGATAAAAATATGGAAAAAATGTGTAAAATAATAAAATTTATATATATATATATATATATACAAAACTGCTCGTGGTATTCCAGTATTCCATTTGGCGTTTCTTGATATTCAAAGCTCACCAAGTGCCAACCTTGGTGATTATATTTCTGGTATGGTAAAATTTTGTGTAAGATTATTCCATTTTAAGTGTTTAGATTTAAATTACACCCCTTAAATCTGACATGGACGATCGATTTAGTGCTAAACAGGAATAAAATGTTCTTTCACTCAATTTTTTGGGCAGTTCAATATCATACTTGAAAGGATATTACACAACAGTTTTTACAGTGTTTCAAACTCATAAAAGTGTCGATTTTCTTTTTCATTTTCTGCACCACTTAACAAGTAGAATTCCCAAATAAATTTAAATAATTTTGAGCCACAAGACACAAAATACGTATTTAAATGATTAAGTACATTTACTAAATGTGATCTTTTTTTCTCTTTCTTTCAGATTTCTATTAGTGGATAATCTTTATACATTCTTTGTATCCTGACAAGATCGAAGACACAAAAAGAAAGTAGGATTTTTTTATTAATATTTACTCCAAATATTTTCTTGTATTTTATTAGGTCTTCAAATTTCGTAAATGCTTATTTGCCTGCAAATATTTTTCAACACAATACCATCTTCTAATTTAACACGTAAAACATATAAAAAGAATTGGTTTCTGAACGTTTTTTACTTATTTGTAATTTATTTTCTTAGTCATTATTTGCTGTCATATTTGTCTATATTTCAGTTCCTTAAATCTCGTAAAATTGTATTTCAATTTTACAGATTCAAAATTAAAAAAAAAGAAATAAAAAAGCATTTAAAAAAGGAAAGAAAGGCAATATATTGTAATGAAATGTACTCGAAAATGGTTATGTGTAGCGCATTTCCAAATTATGCTGCCTTAGCTATTAAATATGTAATTATTACTCATAAATAATAGGTAATTAAGTTCTTCTATCATTTTATTTTTTTTGTTGGAAGGAAATTGATCAGAAAGTTATTTCAGTTAAAAGTTATTGATAGTTATTGATTTAACCCCAATATTTTAATAATTTAACCCTGAGAATTCTCATTCTAAGAATTTTTACAGGTTTCCACCAGAAGAAATATATTGATAAAAATTGAATAGCTGTAATTGTAAATTAATGTTAATGCTTGTAAGAATTCTCTATTTTACGCTATACAGTTAGGGCATATATTTACAGTTAGAAATCTTGTAGGAATTACAAACGTACATTGTTTTTACAAAATAGCATATAATTATATTCAGAAATAAATTAAGATAGCTATTTATATCTAAACTCCTTCACCATATAAAATTAACGATTACAAACGATTATAGTTTATTGAATACAGTGATAAAAAATATTCTCAGATTCATAATGGTGACTTAAAGTTCCCACTGAAAGTAATTCATTGAATTTCAAAGAGTAAAAACTAAATTTTGTGTTGAGCTCAGTCTTTTAGATATAAATTTGGGCAACTAATATTTTTCTGACTATTTTAACTAATTATGTAAAAAAAAGCTGACCTCATTATTTAATTTATGTGTTCAAATTGAGTTCTTAATGATTTGAAAAATGTTGAGATTATATTATTCAATAAACAAATTCTAATAATTTAATTCCTTGCAGTGACCTTTTTAGTTAAGTTTACTTCGTAAAAGTTCATATTTCCCTGTTTGGTAGCATTTATAGTTTAAATAAGTTATTTAAAAGTGATCATTGTGTTTTAAATACTAAAAATACAAGGAGAAAAAAAAATGGTAAAAGTGTTATTAACGTGCTGCATGGTTACAACACTTCTGGTAGAAGAAACACATAATTCTATTAATATAAGCCGAAATAAACAGTATTTAAGTAATTCATTTAGTAATTTTTCCGTTTCTATAGTAGCTGCTTACCAGAAATTCTTGTTTTCAAATGTGTAGTTCTTATTACTAATATATTTGTAAAAAATAAAAAACTTAGAAGTAATTTAGACCAAATAAATGGTTTTTATGGCCATGTTCTAAGGTATTATGAAAAAATTATCAAACTTTATGACAATTATCGAATTTTATCACTTACTATAAAACTATATTTTACTGTTAATTAAATCACCAAAACGCTTCTGTAAAATTTATCGAGCTTTTTGATGTTCCCATACAGCTAGAAACAATGTATATTTTACCATAATCTACTAGTTTTGATCATATTTTTCTTTTTTGGAGTAAAATAAAACATCGAATGTACGCAAAGGTTTGTTTTTAAATTAGTCCAAAAGGAAAATAGATTTTAATAACTGTTATATTATAAACTATTTTATAAAAATACTATTTGTTTAATAAAATAGTAGGTCATAAAAAACTTATAAAAATATAAAATTTATAAAAAAAAATATATTTTTCATTTCTAAGTGTTCAACTGCTTATAATATGCAAATCCTGAATAATAATTTCATATTTATATTTAATAAAATAAATTCATATAAATATCTCATTTTATATTAGAGTTAAAAATTAATTCAATACTTTAGTTACAAAATTGACTAAGGAAAAATAAATAAACCATGTATAGTGCAGCATAATTTTAAATGCCTGCCAACAAAGTTTAAAATTAACATCATATCAAATAGCCCTGCATTTATTAAGTAAAACTAAATGAACACTTATTCGCAACTGAGAAAATGAAATTATTAATTAAATCTTTGTGTGACCCTAACAGCAACAGCTTAGGCTGGCAGCTCAATCAATCAACTTTAAAATACACTGCATAGCTCAGAAATTCTTAGTTTCTGAAATACTCGTGGTCTGGAGCTGTTAATAAGGTTCGTAATCTTAATAACCACGCAATAAATTTAAGGCAAAATTCCAGTTTTCGTTTAATTTTTTTACTTTTTTTCTACTAAACTAATATCATTAAGTATTATCATTTAATTTATTTGTTTCATTAAAGTTGACTTTTTCTCAAATTTAATTTATAAAATAATTTGATTAAATCTTGGGGAGAGTTTTTATGGGTAATTTAGTTGAAAGCGTATGAAGAGATGCGTTTATAATGTTTTTTTTTCCGTTGAAAATTCTCTGGAATTGCTGGTAACAATAACTTTGGAGTTCATTAAGGAATGAAATATATTTTAAGCGCTATGCATAATGGATTCTTAGAATTTTTAAACTTTCATATGCAGTTAAGTCAAATCACAGTTGGATATGAATTCCTAACTGTACAGTAAATCTTTGCAGTGTATAAGAACTATCTTAGTATCGGCATATATACCAGCGTTTTAGAATTTTATTTATGTTTAATGTTTTTTCAAATGCTTAAAAAGAAGAATTTATATTTTACGAATTTTCTATTAACTCCCTTCGAGACTTAGCAACTCCATTTAATAAAGTTCTACTGAACATACAATATATTATGCATGCGTTTTGTTTTTGTACTACATAATCATTATATTAAGTAGATGCACCATAAGGGTATCAAAACCTGACCGTTGTAAGCTTTTTATTTTATTTTTTTTCTATTTACCGCAGTATATGCTTTAATATTATATTACTGATTTCATTTGTCATAAAATCATTTTTATTTGAGAAAAATCTATATAATTCAAGCATATATGCAATGATTTGAAAATCATTTAGTGACCTTCTTACCTAGCTACTATTCCGTATAGTGATATCTTAGCAACGATTTAGTTTGTTTTACTTTGAGAACTTCAGTAATAAAATAATACTAAACTAATTAAAGTAATAGTTTTGTTCTTCAATTAATTATCATAGTTCAGGAATAGGGATGATCTGCGCAAAAAGCTTAAAATCTGGCATCTATGCTTCATGCTGTCTTGAATCTGTCAACTTGGTACCTTTATTCCAGGCCGTATTGAAACTATATATATATATATATATATATACATCGANTATATGTATATATATATATATATATATATATATATAAGTATTTCTTTAATTTATACTCACGTGTATTCTACCTAACATGTCATTAAAAACAGAAATTAATTTGGTGATTAAAACCTTCTCACAAGAAAACGTAAAACTTGGCATGTAAGTTTCACACTGGCGTGATGCTGTATATCACACTCTATATTTTGTCTTGAAGCTATGTCATCTATATTAATGCATTTTTTTAAACATTTATACATATGTGTATTCTACCTAAACATGTGATTCAAAACAGAAACTTTGGCAAGTAATTTGCAAATTAATCTGGTCAATTAACATCCTTACAAGAGCAAGAAAAAATATTTACAATTTGTATTTAAAATGGAACTTAACTCCAGGATTTACATATTAATGGAAATAGCGGTGTTAAAGAACCACAAAAACTTAACACATTCTAATTGAACTTCAAAGCTATCAGTTCTTTTTCCTCCAGGTAATAGTAGAATTTACTTGTTTCGATTGCAACAGTTGATTCTAGAATTTTCTCCAGAGAGCGCTTGGATCCGATTCGAATCAAACTTATTACTCAGTTTTTCCATAGGGACCAATACTCATTCAATCACTATAGGTCCAGAATTGCGTCTCATTACCAATAAAAACAAAAATAGAGGTCAAAAAACGATCCATTTCGCTAATTAAAGCCTAATGGACCTTCCCGATCGCTAAACATCAGAACACTTATTCTAATCAAAGAAATCAATCTCGCACAAAATGCTCCACTGGGTAAGGTGTAATAGCTCAGTGTGAATATAAAATTATACCCACTACCCGAAAGAATTACTGCAATCTTAAAAGATTTGGGTGTTAGGAGTCCTAAAGCTGTTTCCCAAAAGTACTCAAGCTCAGTAGTTTAGAGTTTTTTTTAGAAATTTAATATATTCTAAACAATTTTAGTCCAAAATAGGAAAAAAAATAAAATGACTTGCAATCCATGAACTTAAATAGACAAAATTTGTATTAGAACTGAATTTTGTTTTGAACTATATTGAAATTAAAATAATCTAAGATACTATAAAATAGGTTTGAGATATTTTTAAAATAGATTAACTAAAACACGAAAATAAAATTACCGTACAATACAATACTGACATTTTAGGTAAAAAAACATAATCGTACTTATAAAAACCAAAATATACGGTATTTTAACTATTTATCTGAATGGTTTACCTGAATTTCTGGCTCTACTTAATGGTTTTATGCCATGCTGTTAGGTATCATGAGTACCAATTCTATCCCTTAATGTATTATATGATATTCAAAGCTCTTACGGTAAGAAAATAATTACTGAGCATTTTGGTGTTCTCATACAGCGAGAAACATGATAAATTTAATCATATTCTGGCAGTTATGATCATGCTTTTTTCATGCAGTACCATATGAACAATTTTAATTAAAAAAAATTATTGTACAGTATGTTTGAGATACATCGCAAAGTTTAATGTGTCTACATTATAGATGCATTTTATCAATTTAGATCAAATTAGAACAGTTTTGAACAAGCTTATTAAAATATTTAAATGTTCTCTAATGCATTAAACGCCTATTGAAAATGTAAATTTCAAGCCACGCTATCACATATAATC